TTGGTGGTAATTCCATTTAGCCACTGTAGCCTACCAAACCATCATGGAACCTAATAAGATAAGTATCCACATGTTAATTGGATATTGTTGACTAGGCTAGTTATTTATAAGTTTATACTAGAAAGTCCATGTAGTTAAACATTAGACTAATAGTATAAGAATTCAAATCAAAACTTCATATTGGCAAGCGGTTTAAGTTCATTTATCTTCACATATTTGTACATCTATTCTAGCAATATACTTCCTCATATTTTATCATATTAATAATAAGACTTCAAATTCTTAGTTTTGATTTTTTTAATTAATATTTTATTAAAAAAATTATAATAAATAATTATATATTAAGGTATCAATTTTGATTATATAAATTAAAGATTAAATTCTATAATATTAAAATTTTAAATATAATATTTAGATAATAATTATAAATTAATTTAAAAATAAACTTTTATCATTTAAAATTTTAATTTTTTTGATTTAAGTAGAAAAATTATAAGAACAATCATTGTAACTGCTAAGAGTAATAAGTTTTGAAACATATAGAACCTTAATTTTAGTTGCTCATATAAATAAAATAACACTATATTACTAGAAAATAGTATGTTATGCAAGACTATTGAAATCAAAATATTTGATAAATTTCAAAAATATTGATTGATGTTTGATATTTTTTTAATATAAGAAGAGCTGCAATTTTTTAGAAATACTAGACTCAATTAACTGTACATAAGTAACAAAAGTTATAATTCTAAAAGTATCTAAAGGAAATTTTTTGGTGGTGATTAAATAAAAAATTAAAAACCTATATAACTTTTATAAGCATTGTGTATTGTGTGTATATATATATATATATATATATATAACTTCCAACTTCTAAAACTTTAACATATGTTTTATTCATCTTGATTTTAATTTTATTGAAAAAATGCAGAGAGTTTTTATATTTATTTAAATATATTGAATTTCATCAAAAAATTGTAAAATTGTTTTAAATAAATTAAATAATAAAAAAATAAAGGAATCAGTAGGAAAAATGTCATCTTCATGATAACATGAATGTTTTGAAATATTAGCAATCAGGTATCAATTTTTAGTTGCTATGATCATATCAATATTATCTTAGAAAAGTTTGATCTGTAAAAATAGATATTATATTTTTATCCTTTGTAATCATTAAGACAAAGGTTAAAAATACTTGTTTATTTAAATACATGTTTCCTTGTCTCCTTTTAGTTAAATTTTTCTTTTTTTCTTTTTTCTCTTTTTTACAAAATCAATTTTTTAAATGTTATGTGTGAATTTCATATCAAAATTTATCTGGACCAAATATTGATTTATATTGTTACTTTAACATTGGTTCCTTTTACTTTTTGACTTCCTTTTCCTCTTTAGTATCTAGGGTGATTCTATTACCCATAGTTTTTCTTTTCTTTTCTTTTTCAACACCTTTTGTTTATTCAAATTTATTTGTGATTTTAATATAGTATTATCTTTTTTTTTCATTTAAAGAAAATTTTGAAATATTTTTTACAAAATTTCTTAGATTATTTTAAGAAAAATTAAATTACATAAACCATTTGTAAATTACATATCTATATAATTATCTTTGAAATGAAATTTTGATGTTTATTTTTAGAAAAATGTATTGAACTTTAGATTGATATATATATATATATATATATATATACATGTGTGTGTGTGTCATTGTGTGTGTGTGTATATATATATATATATATATATAGATATGAAGAGAGAGATCACAATGCCAATTTGTATAATTGTGACCATTCTAGAAATTTCAATGTTCAGTTGTTCCAATGTATGTAAAACATTATATATATATATATATATATATGTGTGTGTGTGTGTGTGTGTATATTTTATCATCTTCTTGTTTTTATGCTTCTTTTAGTTCTATTTCAAAAACCATCCAATTGGAATCAAAATTTTGATTATAGAAATGTATTGTGTAATTCATTACTTTTTTTGTGTTTTTGGGCAGCCCACCCAAATTGTGCATGTGCACGGCATTGTCATAGTAATTGCATGTAAACAAAGAAATAAGAAAATAAAACAGGCTTACGCCATTGCTTTATAGAACCGCTTTTTCACTGTTTTCAGTTTCAACCAAACTGTTGCATTAAAAACTCCATGCATTGGGGACCACTCAAATCAACCAGTCCATAATTCCTCCTTCTCATTCAGTTCACTGCCTTTAATGAACTTTATTCTAAACGAAAGGTCAAAAATATAAAATAAGAATGATTAAAGAAATAAGGGTTCAGAGTGATTTAATTAATATCTTTACACATATTATTACTTATTCAAGGTATACGAACCTAGACCAAATCAATTCTAGAATTATTAAAATATAAATAAACTCTAAAAACTTGCAAGGATACTTGAACTATTATTGGAGAGTGGTAAGGTTTATGATCTATATAATACAACAACAAAATGTGGAATGTATATTGGAACAACCCTGTTTCCCTCTCTTTGGTGTGCATCTCGGCTTGTTTTCTTAAAAAAGCTCTTGAAAGAATGAAGAATTAACAAATATGAAAATGAAAGATGAGAGGCAAAGGGGTGAAGATTTTAAAATAAAATAAAATAAAAACGCTTTGGCAGGGTGACATCTCTTGCTTTCATGCACGGCACAAATTTGAGATGTACTCTTCCAATTTTTATTGAACAAGTTGCTTCTATCTGTAAAGAAGAACATGTTTATTTTAAAGTGTCTAACCAAAATTTCCTTTCCGTTAACAAATCCAAAAACATGCATTTTCTAATCTTTTAAACAATGATTAAAAAAATCCTCAAAATGTCTGATATACCTCATCAGTGAAAAATAAATTGGAATTAATCGTTCTTTATCAATTAATTAGTTTATATATTTGGACGTAAAATGGGATCTGAGATGAATCAAGTCTGTGCATTTATTTTAGATGTGGCTATTGTCAAAGAAATAGAGAAGGAAAAAAAATAAAAAAATAAAATAGGGTCAAGTGGTTTAGAATGAAAAAAATTGAAAAACAAATATCAGAAACTAGGCAGAATTTGGTTTGGTTGAAGACTTGTCTAGCAAAAATTAAAATATTTCTTATATTGTCCAATTACTTATACTATAACACTAGAATCTATAGAATCTTCAAAAAAAGAACATATACTGGATTATAGGATATCTTAGAAGTCTAAACAATCTTTTATAAAATCTCTAGTGGACTATAAAAATTCTTAATGATCATGAAAGACTGTGAAATGTCCTATAAAACTATAACAATTTATTTAAAGATGGTTGATGTAATTAAAAAAATACTAGTTTTATTATTATTTGTGAGATCATATTATGATTGTGATCTCTTTAACAATATTAGCAAACTGATCTAAATACTTTATGAGTATTTTACATTAATAATATAATTACTAAAATTTAAACCTTACCAGTAGATTTTTTTTTTTAAATGAAATAAGTTATAACAACATACAATTTGATAAACTCGGGGATTCTTCTTCCCAATGAGAATATGCATATCCACAGGAAGTGCACAATTAAAATGAATAAATAAAAACCAGTTTGACGAACGCATCAGATGCTCAAATTCAACATTTCTGAAATCCATGATCCCAATGACAATATTCATTTAGCCACGTCAGACCATCTGCATCCAATCCATTTCATAAGCAGCCAACTGTGCAGAATTCCTGCAGAGTAACCGATCCCAGCACCCATAAAAGATAAAAATAAAATAAAGAAATAAAAATGGAGGGAAATAGAGAGAATTTTCCAGTTGTACTGCAAAACAGTTCAGGAATTGTCTGGACTCACCACCCAAATTAAACCAACACCAGAAACCTGAATCCACTCCTATATACACACACACACACACACACAGAGATATATATATATATATATATATATATACATATTGAGGCCAGGTAGACCAAATAGGATTTTGAAGAATTCCATGTTTTCCACACAACAGTAGTAATCCCCCCTCCCCTCCTCACTTTTAAGAACTGGTGAACTATTTTACTTTTCTTAATACCATAGGGGTGGGGGTATATTGTTGTCAATTGGAATTAACAACAGAAATCTCATTTCATTGTCGATTGGTTGTGAAACACATTAAATGCACCAATAGCCACACTAGATTCAAGAAGCCAAACAAAACCTGCATCCAAATACCACCACTTTGGGTTTGAAATAAATGTGGAGGACAAAATGATTTCCTGAATGAAGCCGTACAAGGATTCGAACAATGTAAAAACTAGCACAAAGCACATTTGACCTTTCGGCTTTTTAATGGAATCATTGTCGAATGTGAACTAACCAGAGATAATGACAAAATAAAACCCCACCAGAGTTACCAGCGAGTAACCCAAAAGAATAGGTCTTCTAAATATATAAAGTAAGCCAATTCCAAATTTACGCGACCAGAATTTACAGTGAAGGGGGGGGGGTAAGAAAACAAGGGAGGGGGAAGTGAGGGAATGAATGAATGAATATGCGGAACTTTATGGCACCTGGCCCCACACCGCGTTGCTGCTTCGTGAGGGTTCTGTTCTGCTCTGCTCTGACTAATTGACTGACTGGCCGACTCATCTCTCCCTTCCCCTCACCTACAACACCGCGTTACCCACACTGCGCGTGTGGAAGGAAGGAAGCAGCAGCACCCACATCCCCCCCCCCTGCCCTGCCAGCTCAGCCCAGCCCAGCCATCGCCCTCCCCCCTTGCTCCCCTTTCTCCTTTGTCCTTTTTCCCCCTTTCGTGCTGCTCTGCTCTCGGGAGGTCCCTCTCTCGTCCCACTGGCTGCCTCTCAGCAGCAAGGCTAGCTGCATTCCTCCACACCTCCCTCCTCCGCTCTTCCTTCTGCTTCCTCCTCCTTTTTCTCCCCCACGAGCATTGACCTAGTCACTGTCATCCCCCCCCCCCCTCCTCCCTCCCTCCCTCCCTCTCTCCTCCGCTCTTCTCGTCTCCTTCTCTCCTCTCCGTCCCATACCTGCTGCTGCCCATTCCCGACTGTCTCCGCGTCCCAGTCTGTACTGGCTCCCACTCTATCGAGTTGAGTTGCGCTTGTGCCAGTCATTTCTTTTCTTTTTTAAGGGTAGCTAGCATCAAGACGACGGAGCCCACACCATTTCGTAGCAGGTTCTTCGAAGGTGGCGACCTGTGCTGCTGCTGCGGCTGCTTATGAATCCAAGTGAGGAGGGTCTCGTGAGGATCAGAGGGGTGAGGTGGTGGTGGGACGCGCTAGTGCGTGATTTCGACTGTTTCTTTGTACAGAGGTTGGATTGTCCGAGTTCGTTTGTTCACGGGGTCAGGTGGAGGTGTGCGGTTTCGTTCTTAGCTTGGCTGTCTTTAAATGTGCGTGGTGCTGCACGAATCTTCGAGATTCAACATTGACTCGAGTTGCTTAGTTTAGGCGCTATTGACGGGCGTCCAAGATGTTGCTGCTCTGATTGAAGTAGCTGCCGCGCCTTGATTGTGTATTTTGACGTCAAGGTCTCGCTGCTAGGTTTGCGAGAATCCGGTGGAGGATTTATTGGTCCATGTGAAAGCAGTCGGTACGTCTGAGAGTACTGCTTACTTCTAGTTGCTTCCGCTTCGTTCCACAAGCTTACTGCGTATTGCCAAGAACTTGTCTGCATCTAGCCCCAACTGGATCCAGTTGATAGGATAGCAGCCATGGTTTGCAGATCAGTCTGTACACTGATAACATTCTCGGTAGTACTCCTCATACTATCCTCGCTAGCGTCTGCAATAAGGTCTTCACCATTCGACTCTACTGCAAGGGATGGGTTTTACTCGGAGCCTGCCTTACCGCCTCTAGGATCAGGGTCACAGGTATCATCAGGACCAGCATGGCCTGAATTCCGAGAAGCACCGGCGTTTCGAAATGGGAAGCAGTGCGCTTTCGTGAACCGAACACAGAACGAACTAGACCACATATGCGACCGGAACTCGGTGCACATTTCTATGACACTCGATGTGAAATATCTGCGAGGGTCCATGGCGGCCGTTTTCTCGATCTTGAAGCATACTGCGTGTCCGGAGAATGTCATCTTTCACTTCTTCGCCGCGGACCGAGATGAACAGCTGCGATCCCTTGTCTTTTCTACGTTCCCCTTTTTGAGATTCAAAGTGTATCACTTCAACGACGCACTGGTGAATTCTAGAATTTCTCCTTCTGTTCGGCCAGCGCTGGAACATCCTTTGAACTACGCTCGTAGCTACCTGGCAGATATTTTGGAGCCGTGCATTCAGAGAGTCATCTACTTGGACTCGGATCTCATTGTTGTGGACGATATTGTGAAACTGTGGGGGACAAAGTTAGGGCCTCATGCCATCGGCGCCCCAGAGTATTGCCACACTAACGTGACGAAATACTTCACGGATGCGTTCTGGAACAACAGAATCTTGTCCAGCACTTTTGATGGCAAGAAGCCTTGTTATTTTAATACCGGAGTTATGGTGATGGATATGGTGAAGTGGAGAACCGAGAACTATCGCGCAGTAATCGAGCAGTGGATGGCAGTGCAAAGTAGTACGAGGATTTACGACCTAGATTCGCTCCCTCCGTTCTTGCTTGTTTTTGGAGGATCGGTGGAGCCAATTGACCACAGATGGAATCAGCATGGCCTGGGCGGAGACAATCTGGAGGGTAAGTGCAGGCCACTTCATCCGGGTCCTGTGAGTTTGTTGCATTGGAGTGGCAAGGGCAAGCCATGGATCCGAATTGATCAAAAGAGAAAGTGTTCTGTGGATAGCTTATGGGCGCCTTATGACCTTCTTCTCCCCTCCACATTATCTTATCAATAAGGGTGGAGTTCAACGGGTGCCAAGAAGCGAAGGTTAAGAACTGACAATAGTTGCGTATAGTTTCATAGATTGTAGATGTACAATATTAAAGAATTAGATGAGGGCAAAGGAGTCCGACTCATTTGATGGGCTTCTACTATTCTTTCTGAGAAGTATTTAATAAGTTTGTGAACACGTATCCGCAGTAATTTTAGGGCATCATTCACGTCAGTGAGATTGCGACCCTCGAGAAAAGAATCCGGTAGGGAAAGTGAGATGATTCGGAATCCCATGAAAGGATTTTGTGTCTAGTGCCTAGGTTTTGTACATCGTAGCGAACGGTGATTTGTGCACAGGGTCTGCGAAGTGCATTCCTGTGTACGGTTGTCATTAGTCGTGTTTGCAGAGTGCCTGCAGCACGAAACTTTGGGTTTTTAAATTTTTCTAAAAAAATAATTTGTAGTCAGCTGAAGAGCTGCGTATCACTTTTGTCAGATTGTATAAATTTATGATGCTACCACTTACAAGAAACTGGTTACCCATTGTCACTGTGCTGTTTTTCTTGGCTTCCATCCTCATTTCTATGTGCCTCTGTTGCGTTCTTTAGACACGCTCGTGACACTTGGATGTCGCTGCTCCCGACTCCTTCGGGGAGTTGCTGCACAATGCATTCGAGATTCACCTTTCAACAATTTAATGAGATCTTGGTTCTCTCTAGCACCTTTTTACCCTGTCATTTGACTGCGATGCTGTCGCTTTAGCTCCGATCGTCTCTTATTGAACATTTTGATGTAGAGTACTTTCTGTTACAGTGCTACAGACTTCGAAAGGAATATTTAGCTGAGCTTTTATTCCGACTGAAGACGGAAAGAGATTTTTAGGGATCGTCCAATGCTGCCGTGTGTTATAACCTTTGCTACCGAATCATCCATCTTCGAAACAATGCTTAGAGTAGACGTGCTACAGTTGGTCAATCAATGGACTTAACGCAAGTGAATGAGCTTGCCCGGGTCTCCACTGACCCATGTCATGATCCTTTTTTTTCTTTCCAGTGCGCCAATTCTCTAAGGTTTGTTCAGCAGGTATGTGTTATGCATCAACAGCTGCATGCAAATTCTACCTGTACATTTGTAAAGCACATTTTGAGAGGCACATGAACAGGCATGCAAGACCTGCTGCAATGTCTTCTTCGTGTGACCACCTTAATCAATTTTATTTTTACGCTACCTTGATCTGGAATGTTACAGGAATCCTTTTCCAAACTGGTAGAAAACAAATTCCCAGATTGTTTTCACATGAACTATAATAATTTGCTGCAAACTCGCTGCATAGCGGCTGGAAGTAGAACACAAAAACGTTTCTATTGTCAGGGATGAAGTCGAACTATCACAACACTCTCTCGACCCTGTGTGTGTGTGTGTGTGGGGGGGGGGGTTGCGGGGTTGTTGTTGTAAGCATAATTCTTTCCTAAGAGGTTGTTATCCATACAATCAAAAGTCACTAGCTAGCCATTTTCCTGAAAGCATTGTCCACTTGGATCATAGTGTTTGGAGCATTTCCTCATCCCAGAGATACATGAAAAGGGTGGGCATAGGAAAAAAGATTTGTAAATGAGAATTTTTTTCCCTGCTTATCAAATCTTGGTTGTAGTAGAGAACTTATCATTTTTCAAGGAGGCCAATCATGAAATTTTCAAATGTAGCAAGGAGCATGGGTAGGTGGTAAAGGTTAGCACAATAGAAGTGTTTAATCAGACCCACTCCACTGAAATCCATGTCCAGAGTGGGTTTGAGCAACTCTTTGATTTTACAATCCAGTGAATCTGATCAATAGTAGATTTGCAAATTGAATGAGGGCTAGGCAACAATGACAATTCTGTGAAGGGATTTACCATGTGTCATGTAACTATAGATTCTTCATCTGGTATCTAGCTCATGTCAAACTATGTACACTTCATAAAAGTATTGATGCAACATATTACAGTAGCTTTACCTGCACAAACACCATTTCAAACAAAAGTATGAGTACTATCCCTCATCTGAAATATCCTCAAAGTTGTAACTGCATGATGTCTAGTATGTGTGAATCCCTTATCAAGTGTCATTCCTTCTCCACATTGCTAAAAGTTCCAACTTCTCTTCATTCTCTTCTGAATTGGCCTCAGGCTGGCATAGCCCTGGGCTTCTCAAACAGTACAGATCCTAGGTTATGTGCTGCCAACCTGCATGGAGCAATACACCAACAGTCTTCAAAACCCTTATGCTGAATGCCTTGCAGAATTCAATGAGACTGGAATCCATGTTCATTTGCTTGGCTGGCAGCTGATTTTTAGATTATTCTCCACAATTGGGTTCATTGCCTCCTATTCTTCCTTTGTTTTGCCATGCTTCTTCTCCAATGTTGCAATATGGAACTGTACATGATTGCCCTTTGTTGGTGCACACATGTTTGATGTGCATTTGTTTAATGGGAGAGAAGCTCTTGAGTTAATTTGTGTACTGTTTTCCCCACTCCATTCACTGTATTCTATACTCCTAATGATAATAATAAGAATAATAATAGACAGAAGAGAACAAGAGCTTTAATATTTACTTGGCAAGAAGTGAAGATGACAAGATCAGTCATGGTCATCACACAAGGGGGATGATCATTGGCACTCATTGAAGATGAGTTGGCCTTCATGAAATCCTCATGGGGCCACCCCTTCCCTTCTTCTCCCTTCCTTCTTCACCCATGGATAGATAGATAGATACTACTCCCCCCTCATTCTTTACCAACAATTGGTGCTCACAACACAACACATGCATGTCATTTATCTTTGTGAAGCTATAGTTGCACTGGGAAAACACTCTCAGAAAGATGGTGAACCACCAGTTGTCCACCTGCCTTGGCCCATGGAAGGACTTGTTTTAGGCAGACCATTCTTTCTTCTTCAAGCAAAGGCATGGCAATCAGAAAAGTGATGCTTGACTCTCAACAAACACCAAGAATAAATAAATAAGTAAATAAAAGAAAAGGAGGTGGTAAATTAATCATTAAAAGTTTCACATTAAGGTGAGAATCAGAAATGGTAAACTGTATCCCCCTAAGTGTAGTTACTTTAAAGAAGATATTTTTGAGTGTTACTTGGTCACTTTCTAAACTCTTAACTTTTTTTTTTTTGCAAATTATGAAAGAACTTTATGGTTGATCTTTTAAGTTGTTAGCTTACAAATGAGCCTGAGGCAATAAGCTAAGAGATTAAGCCAAGTATTTTCTTCTTTGGTTTTAAGGGAAAAGATGGTCTGCATGAGTAAACACAAGAAGGGAAGAAAAAAAGACTGCCATTTTGTTGGTTACCTTCCTGAGGCCTTGATATGCAAGCATGGGGACACTTTGATTTTTTTCTTTTTTTTCTTTTCTACCCTGAATACAAATAATTCCTCCATCATTCCAGAAGAGGCAAAAAATAATATATCCCAAGTGACATTTTAAGCAAAGGTACCATAGAATTGTATGCCAAAAAGAATATTATAAGAGATGTCATTACTTTATTTTATTTATGCATTGTAAACAATGTTCGTTTCTGAGTAGACAGGCATTCTAAAGCCAAAACTGTGAATCCAATACTTAGTTTACAAAGCAATTTTCTCTGATTTATGAGCATACTGAGAGCAGGGCTTTGGAATGAAATCTTCACTGGAAAAGAGGTAGGGGGTGAACAAAAAGGTTTGAAAGGAATTTTGAGAAATTAATGTTTTTCTTTCTTTCTGGTGTGATTACATTTTTTGTGCTTCCTCCAAGCTGTCACAAATTGTACTGAGTCTAAGACTCAGGCTTGGCAGCAGTGTCACATGTTTGATGGCAATCAGATCAGCCATGCAGCATTGCCAACAAATCAATACAAGTGTTCAATGCTTATGCCAATGCTGCTACACCTGGCACCATTGCAATGCTTGCCAGTTGGTGGATTATGAAAATTATGAGGTTAAAATTAAATAACTGCATATATATATATATATATATATAATCCAGACCAACAGTAAGAACCCACTTAGTGAAGAGAGGACTGAATTTCAACCTTATGGATTTTTCACCTAAATAGTGTACAAGAAACCTCACATGCAGATTCATTTATTTTTGTTGACTCAAACAATGCAAAGAGGTTTTTCCATTCTAAAGTTTCATGAAGAAAAGGAAGATGGATGGTAGATTCATCCATTATTATCCCATTATCCACCATTGTGTGATGCATGAACCCTTGCTTTGTGGAGGTGTAATGGATACAACTGCTGCCTTGCTGATGGGATCTAGCTCTCATTTTCATAGTCAACCTTCTTCCCAGTCCATGTCTGTATTAACTAACTGAGTGAGTGTTGTGGATGCTAAGCTGTGTAAATTTCTGTGGAATTATGGCTACCTGATGATATTTGCACATGTTTCTTTATCTCATTGGATTTCAAGACTCTTCCATCATAGCATGGATTTTTGCAGTACCAGTTACAAGTCAACTAAGCCTTGCTAATCATGGATAATTGGGACACTCACTATGGCATGATTTATGGTTTGTCCTGTGCCTGTTAATAATCAGTATCTTTGATTAATTACTTTCTAAAATCTATTTCTGTATTTGTTGGTTAGCAAGCTGGCTGGCTGGCATTCTTTCACCATAACCAGAGGTTCTTACATCCACCTTGGTGCCCAGAATAGAAGCTCCCTGGTAGACAAAATCTCTGTTAAGTGTAAATCTATGACAAAAAATTAGAAATTTAAAATTATGTAATGAAATAAAACAAAAAAAAAGTTTTAAATTTTCCAAAGTTGATACAGGATTTTTTTAAATTCAAAAAGCTTGGAGAAAAAGTAAACTGAGTTAATGAATTTGACTCTAAGCTTAATTATTTTACAGTATTTTTGAATAATACCAAAAAAAGACTTAACAAAACGGTTGAGAATTGCATTGAAGCATCGACATAGTTGACTGTTTATATGAGAATGAAATAAATCAATAACTAATAATCAATAAATATTATTTCGACGACGTGGTTGACAAACGAGAATTGAGAAGGTTTGAGTGAGGGTTCCATCTGTCTGGAAATTAAAGGGCTCGAGAGAGATCTTAGAAAGATAAAAATGGATGACAATAAAGACGTACAGACAGAAGCCCATGTGTGCGTAGAGGACGAAGTAAAAACGTGTACTTAACGAACCCCGCATTAGACGACTGTATTGAAGGAATGATGGATGGATGAATGAAGTATGTTGATGAGAGGAATGGAAGCTGCTGTATCTCCACGTAAGAAGAAAGCCATATGTACTGGCCGGAACCAGTCTGGGTCCGAAAGCATTGGGATGCTGGCAGTCCAAGTCAGCAATTGAGGAGGTAAGGTAGTGGCACGTGTGTGTACTTAGTGGGAGAGGGAAGAGGGCAGGGCGGCCATTGGGATCTTTCTGGTTTCAATCCAATCATTGGTGACCCCACCACACTCACTTGCAGATACTGATCTGGCAGCTCCGATTATTATTATTATTATTCTGAGGCCCAGTCAGCC